GTTGTGCCACCAGGGAGGGCCCTGATTTGATTTTTTGAGAGACACCATGGAATAGAATTCCACGTGAAACCTTTCAGTTTTTGAGTTGACAGCAAATTAAAACACCACGAACAAACAAATGCCCCCAAACAATTGTATGGGCCAAACCAAACACATCTGGGAATGGGCTGCTGTTTTGCAGTCCTAGATTTAGCCCATTATTCTATTAAGCTACATTAAGTCTTGGCATAGAAGCAGGAATTCACAAAAATCGAACCTACTAGAAGAAGAGGAGGATTTGAAGTCTGAAGGAATTCATTCTTGTATCGCCCCTCGCTAGGCTGGGCATGTACTCTGGCCACTTGTTCTGGACTTTGGCTGATTCTGGTTAAAAAAGATGATAGCTCCCATTTCCAGGATTATTTGGAGAGTAGTGGAGGGAAAATAGCTGACTTACAGTTACACCTCTTTGTTAATGGATAAGCTCAGTCTAAAATAAGCAGAAAACAAAAATCTGTTTTGAAATGGTCCTATTTCCCTTCCCTTTTAATTTGGATACCCTTCATCCTGCACCTCTGAAACAGCTGAGCTGCCACATTCAACCACCTCTAGGAGTTATATTCAAGGCTCACCCTTAACATTTACAGAACTCAAGGCCAGCGAGTATAAATGGGAGTCAGTATACACTATGTCTAAATATGTAAACCTATGAAGCAGGCAACCGCATAGTGAAATAAATAAAGCATGGAACCTCCAAAGGAAATGCCTTTGAGACTGGAGCCCGCTGGTGCAGGAGCCTGCCCAGACTTCAGTGCAAGTCAGTCTGGGCATGGGGTAGCTTTTCCCCTTTTATATCTGGAGCAATCAGTTTGGGGCTAAATGGGCCAATCAGGTTCAAGCTCTATAGACACCACTCAACTTTGAGTTAATCATTCTGATTCAAAATGGAACTTGAGATGATTGGTGCTAAGGGTCCAATCAGATGCTTAGGCTTGAAAATGGTGCAGGGCCCTCCCTGGTAGTGCAGCGGCTTAGATTGCAGCACTGCAAGCTGGCCACATCGGCCTCAGTGCAAGTTGGATTCCTGGCCCTGGAGGTGACCACATGGCGCAGCAGACCTCTCCTGACCCGCCCGCTGCTCCCCTCAGCAGTGTACTTCATCAATCTG